TTTGTTTTAAATACTGAAGAAAGGCATCAAATGCTTTTACAGTACTATGTGGGACGATAAGATTCACACCCGGCTTTCATTACCACGGGAACACGTCTGAACTCTGGGCACAGACACTTCTATGGGCTTGTTTGGATACAGCAGGTCTGCAAGTTCAGTTCTTGTTTTCCAAATATGCCGCTTTTGTCTGGGATAGAGTTAATTTTCCTCCCAGTAGCTGGTATGGGGCTGTGTTGTAGATTTGTGCTGGAAACAGTGTTGATAATTCAGGGATGTTTTAGTTACTGCTGAGCAGCGCTTACACAGAGCCAAGGGCTTGTCTGCTTCTCACCCCACAGCGAGCAGGCTGGGGGTGCACAAGAAGTGGGGAGGGGACACAGCCGGGACAGCTGACCCCAACTGACCACAGGGATATTCCATACCACAGGATGTCAAGCTCAGCATGTAAAGCTGGGGGAAGAAGAAGGAAGGGGGGGACATTTCAAGTTATGGCATTTTATCTTCCCAAATAACCCTTACGTGTGATGGAGCCCTGCTGTCCTGGAGATGGCTGAACACCTGCCTGCCTTGTTTTGCTTTGCTTGCACACCAGGCTTTTGCTTTACCTATTAAACTGTCTTTATCTCAATCCACGAGTTTTCTCACTCTTCGGATTCTCTCCCCCATCCCACTGGGAGAAGCAAGCGAGCGGCTGTGTGGGGCTGAGATGCTGGCTGGGGTTATACCACACCACCAAAGAAGTTCAATTTGTTGCACAGGGATTCTCTGACTTAGAGGACTTCTGATTTTTTAATTATTTTTTTATATTTTATGCCTTAAATTCCATTTTACAAAACAAGAAGGACAAAAAAGAAATGTCCTTGACTTGACTTTTAAAAAAGCCCTGCCCTAACCAGGTAAGAAAATCTGCAAAGCTTTTCAGTAATGCAAAGAATGTACTAGCAGTGACTGCAGTGACTCACTTTGAAAACCCTGGAAAGATAACTTCCATTATAATTTTTTCTTGGAATATCGTAGGTACTATTCAATTGCCCTGCTCCATTTTATTCTATTTCCTTGGTCTTTTTTCAAATGAACTGTACAACAATGCATTTTTGCAAGTGAACCTCGGCTCTTGCTGAGGTTGAATTGCATCTTACAACCCAGAGAATGATTCGTTTTATTAACTTGCAGTGCCACCTAGCAAACATCCTAAAAATTTTTTCTTCACGTAGTTTTACAAAGGACAGCTTAGAGCTTTCATATTTAAAAAAGACAGACCTGTGCTTGCAGTATTTTAAGCATCTAGTATATACTTTTGAACAGTTAAATTTCTATTAGAAATTATGCTTACAAAGAGGATAATAACAAAGATGCTCACATACCTAAAATTCTTGTATACAAACTTTGAGAACTAGTTTTGGACATGTCCCTTATATATTTGTCTACAAATAGTTCCATTACATTGGGAGATTTTTTTGAAATCATACCCTTTGATAGTAGGTCAGTGCTGAACTTACTGGAGTTTTGAGATGAGAGACTCCTGCCACCAAAATAAGGAGGATTTTAGCTTATCGAGGCATGTTAGCACCTTGCATGCAGACACTTTTTAGACTTGGTGAAAGTCAGACCAGCTTGATTTGCCTTGCCTTAAAATAATAACCACGTCCCAGGACAAAACAAGTTCAGATATTTAACTCTGTGCCCGAACCACAAGGCTTTCCCATAGACCTGCATGTGGGAGACATTAAAATTTTAGCGATCCATAATAAATGCTGCAGCCACTGTCCAATCCTAAACCTCTAGCAGGAAGCTGTTTCCTGTTCAGTTCCTGTGCCAAATCCTAACAAGCCATTTAAAAGAGAATATAACCAAACAAGCAAAAAGCAACCTCATGGCATCGAGAGTGAGGGCCAAAGAGAAAAATACACTTTGCTGGCTGACCTTATCCTTCGATAACACATCGTATACTAACTGCACTATGAACTCCTTGAATAAAGCAGCTTGTCTTCATTCACAGTGTCAACACGCACCAGTGTTTAGACAGTACTTTGGCAGTAAAACAAAATTATACAGTTTTATTGCTTCTCTTAAAATTTCTAAGTAGAGTTCTGCTGTTATACTTCCTGGTGAACAGAGAAACCACTACGTATTTTATAGAGTTCAAGAGATAAACCAAGTCAAAACGAAAGATAAGTTTCCAATAATAAGAACAGTTTCAGCTTAGTTTTGATCCTATGACCCTTGATTTCACAGCCTGTCTCCAATAAGTCCAGCACTGCGCGAGGACTGTATTTACAGGAAGACTTGTGTAAAACTTCAGCAAGCCAAGGGGAAAAAACCAAATCAAATTTAAAAAAAAAAAAGGCCCCAGCATGACAGTTTGACAAGCACTGCGGACCCCATCTTTATCTAAGATGTATGGCAGATGTTTTCATATTGTTGAGAATTTAATTGCTATCCTAAGTCAAGGAAGAGGAACTTTTTTTTTTCCAAAGAAACCTACATTTTGCATACTCTCTTGAGATCAGAACTGAGCCACTAGTTCTTTCCAGAATAACCATCTCTGTATTGCATGGCCCAATTAGTTCTGCATAGAACTCTCTTTATGTAAAAATAACAGATGCACTTCAGATGCTGTACTCCTGTAGGAACTTTGGACCTTAGTCCTTGCAGTTTGGCAAAAATGGTCTTTCCAAAAAGTCATTTTAATAGAAAAGATCCTTGAAAGTTTGTCTTGACCTGATGCATTCACTTGTTTTGACAGTTCTGATATCATTCTATGGTTTTGGTCCATTTTCATTTATGCTTATCATTGTTTTCCCACAGAGCTCTCCAGATCCTTGACCTGTTGTTTTCTATGTAGCAAAGATTCACAGTCTGTTTTCCTGCTTGAAAATTTGCTACACAAAATGCAGTTACAAATTTGCTACAAAAAATCCTCCACCAAACACCACAGGCTTTAATGTCACCTTTTTCTTTCACAGAGTTTGCAGTACACCTGCTGCTAAGTGTTACAACAAGGGAAAAGACTTCACACTGTATTTCTACCCACTGGAAGCAGCACTCAGATTTAGAATCAAAAAGTCTTTCCCCTCTGCCCACAAGTTCACTTTGCTTTGAATGACTGAAAAGGAACCAGTTTTTCAGGTCAGGTGGATATGGGCCATACCATCCACTGTTTAGCATTGGAAGGTTGGATATCAGAGAATTACTGAAACATAAAAGGTAACAGTCGCAGTCTCTTTCCCCTCTGCCCACAAGTTCACTTTGCTTTGAATGACTGAAAAGGAACCAGTTTTTCAGGTCAGGTGGATATGGGCCATACCATCCACTGTTTAGCATTGGAAGGTTGGATATCAGAGAATTACTGCGACTGTTACCTTTTATGTTTCAGTCTCTTCTTGACATCACAGTAAAGAAAGAAAAATGAAAACACAGGTCAGGCATTTCAAAAACAAGTCCCTCTGGTTTCTAATTCCGAAAAGCTGAAACCCACCAGAAGCCAGGTGATCTGACGGAACCAAGCCTCCACAAACTGTCTTAAAAGGTCTGGACCGATGACTTCCTCACTATACACAGAACACACAAACGCTTACTTTAAGACATGGCCTTCAATGTTTCCATCGTCCTCTAAATTGTAAGAGATATAACTCGGTATTTATAAATTCATGTAACTGTTTCCTTCACAAGTGACTAAGATATTACTGCTAGAACCCATGGCATGTTACAACAAGGTAGGCGGTGTGGATGTTGTCAAATTTATTAAAATATGCCTTTTCAACTACTAATTATTATAATGATGCTATTTTTTTTTCCCTTGTACAATGCAAAGATCAGTCATGACAGGTGGTTTTTTTTCTCCTCCAAAAGTAAACGAAATCCATACCTTAATTAATAAGAAGATAATTACTATGCTTAAGTGATGAGGACTCAGGCAGCTCTCGGTTGAAAAGCTATTTATTGCTCTTTCTTTTAATTCAGTTCATCTACAAGAACTTTTTAGATATGCACAGCTCTTTGTGCCAGTTAACAAAATAATACAGAACAGCTGGGGGTATGCAACTACCACAACAAACAGGGAGAAAACTTACGAAATGTGTCTTTGCACTTGGCAGAAGGGAGCCATCTTTGTTTTTTTCTTTCACCTCTTCATCAGCTCTCAATCTCCAAAATCTTCTAAGCCCTCACAAAAGCATTTTCTGTATGTTTTACAAACTTTCTGCACTCAAAACTTATGTCTTCTCAACATTTAACCTCAGTTTCTCTATACAGGCCAGAGAACACACTTTCCTGCAAGCCAGCAAATGAGGATGGATGGCCCTAGAAGCTCTGAACAGAACACCCTTGCTGCAGCTGTTGTTATCTGCAGTGAGCATTTTGCTTTCATAAATACACAACGCAGCAAGGTCTGGGCAATTCCCTGATAGGCTTAATAGTGCTACTGACCTGCTAGAGATTAATATTATTTTTTTTTAATCATTGCATGCACTGTTTCAATTTGTTAGGCAGTTAAGAGAATAACTAAAAACTTTCAACACTTGACCCCTGTTCTTTGTCATTCTCCAGGCTATTATTACTAATTAGTAGTCATTCTCAATTATCACGTGCACAATTAAGCAGTTTTTCCAGATTTTCACTATTAAACAATAACCAACAAACATTTCTTTCAATTTCCATGGATAGGACCAAATTTTTTCTTTGTCATTCTCCAGGCTATTATTACTAATTAGTAGTCATTCTCAATTATCACGTGCACAATTAAGTAGTTTTTCCAGGTTTTCACTATTAAACAATAACCAAACATTTCTTTCAGTTTCCATGGATAGGATCAAATTTTTATAAAAATAACTAGGCATCTACAAAAATACATTATTTTTTTTGAAAAAAAAAAAAGTTAAAAAAGCAACATGGTATTTCCATCTTCTGTTTTATCCACATGATATAATAATTACACAGAGAATACGAAACCCTATGGAATTTACTATGAAAATTTGTATTTTTTTTCACCATTTACATTTCTAATACTGAGGAAATGTTGGGTCAATTTTACTGGCCCAAGCCATGAGTCCTCCTTTAATATCCTTAGCTAACAGAGAACCAAATTCCTTGACAGGTAACTCCTGCAGAATTCTTACAGCCTTCTGGGAATCATTTCCTAATTTGCAAACAACATATAGAGGAAAAGACATTTGGCCATTAGTTCTCTGCTTTTCTTCACAAATTCTTTTTTCTAAATATTTCAGACATTCCTCATCTTTTTCTTCTAACTTAGCCAAAGGAATGTGGACAGCATGTCCCAGGCGACAGATATCCACTTCCACCTGTGGACGAACATCTAACAATACGTGAGGAACTTGCTCATCCAACAGTTTTTTGTATTCCTCTACAGACACCCTGTCTTTACTGGACAGCAGATGTAAAGTCCTACATTTGTCTGTTGCAGAAGAACCACAAAATGCCTCATAATCCTGAAGGCAGGTGACAGACGGATTCTCACCACAAACAGCACAGTCTGGTTTCTTTGGTCTTAACTTGATGTTGCGAAATCTCCCTTCACGGGCATCAAACATCAGCATGAACCGACTGAAGGAGGAACCCATTCCCGAAGCAATCTTCAGCACTTCCAAGGCCTGGATGCAGCCCATGATGCCTGGCACGACACCCAGCACCCCCCCATCTGCACAGTTAGTCACTGTCTCTGGCGGAGGGGGCTTGGGGAAGAGACACCTGTAGCATGGCCCTCCCTGGTAGTTGTATACGACCAGCTGCCCCTCCAGCCGGAGGGCACTGCCAGACACCAGGGGTTTCCCAGCCAGGACACAGGCATCGTTCACCAAGTACCTGGTGGGGACGTTGTCAGAGCAGTCAGCGACGATGTCGTACTGCCGCACCAGCTCCAGCGCAG